ATTTGTCCCACAAAAATTATTTTTTGCAGAATTTTTAATTCATTTTTGAATTCAGAATCATTTTTAAGTATAAAATTTTAAAAAAAAACAGTAATGGTCAAAATGACCGCTTTGGCCGTTCTAGGTCATGAAAATTTCCGGGCGTTCTAGGGTTAATACTAGAAAAAAATGACGAGTGCACGTATGAACCCTAGACAAAATCCTACGTACTTCCTGTCTATTTTCTACTAGGATCTTACAGGATCCTAATATTTAGGATCCACCTAATAATTTCCTAGCAGAGTCCTAAAATGCTAGGATGGATCCTACTAGGATTTCACTTAAGTTTGTTTAGAATCCTAATAGAATTTTAGAAAATCCTAGGACTTTCGGGTATGTCTGATAGCATTAGGATTTTGTTAGAATCCTAAGAAATTAAAGCGACAGTCTAGTAGAATACTGGTGGGATATGTCTCGGAACCTATCAGAAAACTCATAGAACTTTTACTAGGGAGTATTCAAATCATTGCACTCAAGTATGAATATCTATTCTTTCTTGTCTATCCTTGAACAGGGGTGAAACTTTTTGAAATCGAAGAAAGGAAAGACTACTTTTTCTCCTTCCAAAATGAATCATACAGATCACATAGAGTAGCAACATTCATCATTATCATCGTTCGGCTGCGAACAATCGAGGTTTGCAGGCGACAACAATTATGCTAGCAACATTATACTTTTAAAAAGTGATACACTAATCTAAATAAATTTGGCTATGACATTTTACCAATGACGATGTTAACAAAAATATTCGATTTCTGTCTGAACATCGTAATAAATATCTAAATCTGATCCATACTGCGATATTTTCATATGATTGAATTGTACATATTTCCATCGCCGTCGTACCGTTGTTAGAATATGTTTTGTTCGCTGTTTTAATGTTCCATGTACGTAATAGTCCGAAATGTAGCCTGAAAATCCTTTCAGTGATCGTTCTATAATACGAACTGGCATCAAAGATGCCACTTGTTTAATAATTAACTGAATTTTATAAATAAAATACATGATAGAATGGACAATAAGGTTTAATGTATGCATAACTGACCATATTAACAATACTATTCGTTCTAACGCAACAATTAAGTTTGACAATTTATTGATTAAATTTGTTATTGTACAAGAAAATCTACTGAATATGATCAATAAACGAAATACTGTAGTTGTTATATTATTTAGTGATTTGTATGTATCACGAAATGTTTTGATTAGACGTCGACGTTTGCCTGAGCCCGTTCGTTTCAAATGAAGTGAATCACGTAATCTTGAATAACGATGAACTTTTTTTATTTGTCGATTATTGGAATACAGTCTAAACATGAATATATTTGTTTGGATAAAATTTCAAATGTAATGCAATCTGAGAAATGCAAAACGTGCTCTTCTTCATTTCGACGCAAAAATATTTGGAATTTTATCGGTATTTTCTCAACGATAACTGTTTCTATATAAAAGCACTACTGACCACATTTCTTATCATAGCACTAAAGATGATGTAAATTAATAATAAATTATTAATAATATGATGAATATTATTAATTTTTTACGAGTATATTAGGTTGTCTTTGATTGTCGATTATGAGAAAATCACGAAACAGAGGTAAGCACTCATTTTGAAATGAGTATTCTCTGTGATTGTTCTACAACGTCTATTCATCTCTAAGGTCTCTTATAGTTCGAGAACTGGTCTCAACCGAACTTTTCAACTCTAAAATAACAAATTTCTTGAAATTATCAATGCTTACAGATTGGTTCTTAAACTACATTTTCTCCTTGACAGTAACATTAATTGTCCAACACAGAATACACAGACTATGAGTTTAAGAAAAAAGATTTCTCATAGCATACGACATGTTTAATATTAGTCAGTTTTCTTTAAAATTATAGATTGGTCACGATTCTACCATATGCAGATACACCTGAAGCTATAATGAATAGAAAAAATATTATTTTGACTCATCTTGCAAAAGAAAGTGTATGCATGAAATTTTGACAAGGAAAAAGAGGCGAGTGAAGGAAAAGAAAAACATGTTTCATAATCATTAATTTTTGTCTGTTTACTCATACGCCTTTATCATCACTATTTAAACCTTATATATTTTTTTGTTCTTGAACTAGCACTATTTGTGCCTTCACAGAAAATCAATACAACTTGTTTTATAATGATCATATCCTTAACAAAGTGTCGTATCTTATTAACACTTCCGAAAGATTAAATATGTTTAGATAATAAAAGAAAAATTATTTTAAACACAAATTAAATCTTCTTCCCAGTTTAGTAAACTCATTTGATATTCGTTTTAAAAAAGTAAAATGAAATATACTTGTTTGTTAATAAAGTTATCTACACACTAAGGTAGAAAACATTGAATATCTGAAAAGACATATGATGCTTAGAATTTAACACTAGAACGCCGGTAGCGGTCATTTTGACCGTTTTGTGATTTTTATCCTTAATAAAACAAACTGCATACAATTT